AGGCGATGGATGTTGGAGAATCATGCTGACTGGTTCCGCAGTGGAGATATTCCCCTATGAGATCAATCGGTTTCCTCACTATCATCGGCAGTACTCTTGCGGCGCCCAAGAGAAAGACTCATGATCCACTTCCAATTGTCGTACCGGAAACTTACGAGGTAAGAATACTATCAAGTATCTGTAGCACAATTCCCTATTGGAAGGGCTACGCAGTGGAGGACTATAATTCCACCTGCACTGTGAGGTTAGTGGCTAAACACGAGACCTTCCGTAAGACATATGAGCTAGTTATGAAGATGGAAAAGACCGACGGTTTGAGAGTCTCAAGCGCCCGTTGTAGTGGAAATTGGCATCAGTGAGTGGCACTCGATAGCAACTCGAAATTGAAGCAGCCTTCAGACCCAAACCAGACACTGGACGCGACTACATGTCGGAGAAAAAGATTGCACGCAGCAAACAGTGAGATGATGAAGGCATCATTCACGCCGCCCTCGTAGTAGTGAGAGTTTGTTCCAGGGAGTTGGGGGACCTCTTTGAGAAGATTCTCACGGACGCTGTAAGCCCAACCGCTCTGGACTGTGAGAGTCGCCTCTCGAGAGCACATCGTGCATTGGCACGTAAGAGCCGGAGGTATAGGCTTCTGGTTGGTGCCGTCGGAGGAGCTTTGCCATCATCACTTACATACGGATCGCAGGAGTTCTTTGGTTCAGAAGATGAGAGGGCACCAGAGACCACCTATGCACTCATCAATTCAATATGTGATTATCTTCAATGGAAGCCTCTCCTGGACCATGACAACTAGTCTATAATGTTGGTATGTGCTGTTCCGATGTATATAACATTAGATGTGACCTAGTGTTGTTAATTTAGAGGCGTGTGACGATCGGCGGCGCATGATCTCCGTAAGAGGTCTCTTAGTTAGGACCAACGACGGCCAGATAAATGAAGCTGATACGGATGTGATGCTCAGTCGTCGTATCATGTTGTCCCTCCTCCCCTTCCTCTGCAGCATCCTTCTCAATATTAGTAGTGCATCCTTCTTAAAGAGGCTGCTGAGTGCTAAGCATCGTGGAAGGGTATATAAGCGTTTTGGCGGGGATGAGTCCAAGAATGGTGCTCACTTATTAGACGAAGCTGCTGCTGAACAGGTGGATACCTTCACCGATTGAATACAGTCGATCTCAGATACCAATGAAGAAGACAAACAGAGAATATCAGTTGCCTGGGCCAACAGTGACGACAAGACGTGTGATGCGAAAGCATCGTTAATTTCCTTCTTCAGACGGCAAGCGTCTGCAACATGACGTTCCTACACGGATGTGAACTCCAGGTAGCTACTAAAGTAGAAGGCAGGGAGAAACATTTGAAATACAATGTTGGTTTCGAGAGGGTCGGAGGCAGATTGATACCGAAGTTGGCCACCTGCGGGTTCAGAGCAACTGAATTCATGTAAGCTCCATCGTGAATCAATACTTTCCACGTGACCGTTGCAGACCCCCAGGAAAGGACTTCGCTGACTTGTTGTTGGAATCGACCTACCCCAAGACAGACTCGTGCTTGAGCATATTCAACGTCCTATTCCAACGTGCTCTGACTATGAATGAAGGCTTAAGGAGACTCCTCGGCAATGATGACACCCTCGTTGGACTCACATCGGGGGTTCGACCTTTTTACTATACCTACCACACACCTAACGAATCGACAACTATTGACTCGATCAAGGCATACCACTTCGGGAAATTACTATGTGACTATATCTACGAGAATGCCCCACTAAGGAACAATTCATTTTCTGTATATGCATGATGTGAATGTTGACGAACACTGTAACCCTATTGATTGAAGTATTTATATAACACAACTGTCAAACAGGCCACTTGGCTCACTAGAAATCTACCACTCCAAGGAACCTCCTCACAGAAGAAGACGACCTCAGATGGACGCGTCGAGGCGCCGTTAATACGATCCTTCATATTTACGATCTGGCGATCTCGTAGACATAGATGTTGCCATCAGTGCTACCAGCAAAGAGAGTGTTGCCATCAGCAGACCAAGAGATGGAGACAACCCAAGGGAGAGGCGACTTATACTCAGCCGGGGGAGTGATCTCCTCGAGAACGTTCTTAGTCTCGAGATCCCACACCTTGACACCGGCATCAGTAGCAGCACAAAGCCAGTAGTTCTTAGGGGAGAAGCAGAGGGCGTTGATGCTGCTGTTGGCATCGAGGGAGTATAAATGCTTGCCTTCGTTGACATCCCACAACATAGCAACACCATCTTTACCACCGGAAGCGCAGAGGGATCCATCAGGGGAGATGGTCACGTTGTTGAGGACGCCAGTGTGGCCGGCGAGGTTGATACGGAGCTTGCCGTTATCAAGAGACCATACCTTGACGAGCTTATCCCAACCGCAGGAGACGATCAGAGGCTGCTTGGCAGAGGGGGAGAAGCGGACGCAAGAGACCCAGTCAGTGTGTTGGTCATCAACGATGGTGTGACGGCACTCGCCCATGGCGTTCCTGAA